TCAATGTATTTTTATTTTTTATTTTTATAAAAAGAGAAAAAAGTACATATGCGTTAGATTCTTGTATATGCTTTCTGTTCATGCTCAAATATAGGAAATGATACGCATAAAAGTAAAGAATACAAGCCTTGTGGCATCAAAGGACTGATGCATATTCATAGGTGGTGTAATCTTGAACCACTCTGTGATTTTATCAAGCGATCTGCCTACTGTCCATGTTTTGTCCACAAACACTGCCTTGTCATTCAGCTGTGGGTATGGAGGCGATCGAATATGGAGGTATAGTCTCGAGTTAAGTGGGATCTTGTCTTCACCCTGTCATTCACCACAACAGCAGATGTTTTTTTTTTTTTTTTTTTTTTTTTTTTTTTTTTTTCAAGGCAGAGTACATTTGATTAGCCATTGGCTCTTTGCTGTACGATGTTGCCATACACATAAATACTCGTTTAGACAATCCGAACAAGTACATTCATTACCTGTGCCGATTTTATCAATTTTAAAACTGATACCATCCGTGGGGCTTTTTTAGCCTTTGGTTTAGCTGCTGTGGATGATCCTGCTGATGATAGGATTTTATTCTCATCTGCCGATCTCGAAGCAGCAGCGGCAGCAGCAACGGCAGCGGCAGTAGCAGTAGTGGAAGAAGTAGTGGTAGCTGTAGTAGAGGCAGCAGCCGCTTTTCTTGCTGCAAGTTTTGCTTTAGCCTCTGCAATTGTCTTTTTAGTCGCTTCCGCTCTCTCATTCCTACTCTCCTCGTTCACTAATAGTGCTGGCGCTGGTGCTGATGCCGATGTTGCTCCTGATGATAATGATGATGATGATGATGATGATGATGATGATGAGGAGGAGGAGGTGGAGGACACCTTGTTCTCAAATGTCTCTTGGATACTCGCTTTGAGTTCCTGTTTCCTTTGTTGTTTTGCAATGGCTTCTTGTTCAAGTTCCTTCAGTTTTGGACAGTCGTGTTCATGAGGGTGTCGATGTGCTAAACAAAATGTTTGTCCACATCCTCCTCCTCCTACTTCTCCTCCTTGTGTACATGTACATGTATGGACCACTCGACTTTTTACACGACAACCAGGTTGAGCACAGAGAATAGCTATAGATTGAACAGGTGGAAGGAGATTTATGCGACAGCCACTTTCCTGGTGTTCTTTGAGCTATTATAAAAAGAAGAAGAGGAAGCAAAAAAAAACAAAAGCAGCTATTAAACCTTTAGCACTCTACTAATTGTAAAGAAAAGGAATAAAAAGGACTATAGAAGAAAAAAGAGGAATGAATATTGCTTTTAACGCTGGTTTTTTTTTTTTTTACAATGGTCGCAGGATCTTGTTGCTTGGCTGTCAGAACCATCTTTTCACATTGTGGACACTGTTGGACTGTATTAGCCTGGGACTCCTTTAACCATCGTTCACAGGCATAACTCTCAAGTAGGGGGTGAGCAGAGCAAAAAGTACTATGGCAGAATACACATTCAAAAGGTAGAAAGCCAAGGCTCTGGTAGCTCTATATATGTTTGGCCTGCTTATTAACAATGGCTTTCTTCTTTGTAACCATGCAACTGAAAGGTGATCAAATGTGACTGCGAATGTCTAATTGAAAAATATCTCCAACTCAGTAAAGAATACTATTCAACAATGCTATTTTCTTTTTTATTGTTACTTTTCTATTTTTCATTTTTTTTTTCTCTTAAGAGTGGATGCTTTGATTAGTTGTGAAGGTAGTGAGTATCAATGAGCTTGCTCCTGTTCCTGCTCCTATAAGGGTAAAGGAGTAGCAGTCTTGCCCTTACCTACCCAAGGAGCAACCAAGTGCAGCAGTCCAAATCTAACCAACTGAAGCATATGGGCCCCGGCTATTATTCAAACGAGAAGTGAAAATCATAGATCATGGGAAGGGCCCCTCTTCGCATCCTTTCCCCCTCGAAGCCCATAAGAGGACGCTATACTTTAGTTCTTAACAGTCGCAATCATTTCCTCTTGCCTTGTGGTTAGGAATGGCTTGGGGTGGCGGAAGAGGCTTAAATGAGTGGGAGAACGGGAACATCAACTCTTATTACCTCACTATTGGCTAGAGATGCAACAGCTGAGGCGCATAAAGGTGATCCGGATGAATATAAGGGTGACAAGAGAAGAATGAATGCAAAAGTCGAGTAGAGAGAGGGATGAATAAGTGGTTATTCTTTTGCTTTATCCGGTATATCTATTACATTATTTCTTTAGCGAGAGACACTTTAAAAACCATAGGATTTGTACAGTCCAGCTTCATCGCCTGAAATGGTTTGCATCCTATTTGCCTTATCCAATATTAACTTGATACCAAGTGCTCCCAAAGCAGAATAAAATGTATGATTTTAAGGCCATTCCATCAAAGCTGGGTCTTGGCCATCAATCCTTGGTTTATGAGAAGGAAAAAATGCTTGTAGGGTTTGTGCAACTGTGAGCAATGACGCTTGAAGCGTTTGAAATCCTATTTCCAACTCTGTTCAAGTACTCATTCCTGACAATGATCATCCCTTATGCTCCTTTGGCTCCCTTGTTGCTTCTGAGTTCAGCCTCTGCTAGCCATTGGGCTTGTTACAAAAAAAGGATGTCAGGTCTTGGTTGGAATGTTGATGCTGTTATTGCAGACCCAAATGGCATTCTTATTGCAAAAACCAGCTGGCACAATGACTTTGCCGACGTTTACACAAAAACGAATCACAGAGGGAGAATGGACATTAGAAAAGACTTTAGAAGTTGGTCTTTTGCTATGGATGGTAATGATTATGGGACCTTCTATGCTAATGAAGTGAGCAACCTTCATAACGGCGTTGACAAGATTGCTTTTGGATGTTATGACACCAGTGGAACAGATTACTGCACCCAATATGACTACATCAGGAACTTGTGCTATTATACTTGGTTAGAGCAGGTCAAGGACGGGAAGTTGAATATCTAGAGCAAAAAAAAAAACCATTCTCACCAGTCCACATCCGTAGTATCGGTTCATTATAGTCATAGCCTATCCTCACCCACTACACAAACAAATAAAGGTCAATTGACTTTTCAAGGACGCAGAATGCCCTCAAGGCTCTAGGATGCTCGATGGGAAGTCGTGCAAACACATAATTCTCTACTATAAAATAGAATAAAATACCAAAACAAGAACTACTAAAAGATCAGTTCATCAACCATTCTACAATTTTCCAAAGATACATGTTTAAAAGCTCTCCCATACTGTGCAGAGACAGAGTCAGTTGAAAGAATATTGCCTATATCAACATGGAAGGCCTATGTGAAGGAGTGATAGCTGGTAACAGCACTAATTCTATATCTCATGAGCTTTTTATATATATATATATGAGATGGATCCAGTGCCAGCTATTATAATGCATTTCTGTAGTTTGAACAGCGCTTCAAATGTTCTGAATACTGCTCATGCACCAGACTCCTCGCTCAGCTGTGAGCAAGAAGAAAAGGCGGCCCAGATACTTGGCCTGTGTTGCATTGGGCTGTTGCGTAGGCTAATCAATAGCTTTTCATATGACTGAACATGCAACAGGTGGATAGGGAAGTGAAGAGCCAGAGCACCACAAGCCATTCTTTATTCTGGAGCTGCAGCTGCTATACTCACCGATGACAAGCGATGATGGCAAACACTTGTTTATCTGCTACGAACACTATTACTATCCTTATGAAATAAAATAATGAAAAAGCTGATTCGTTCTTGCTGCTTAGAATCTCTGACCAAGTCTTCGTGCCAATATTTCGAACGTCTTTTCTAAGACTGAGGAGTGAGCGAGTATCGAGTATCATCAAATGCTTTGCTCTTTATGTGTTCATTGTCTGTACACGCCTTATTGGCCTGCACAAATTCATTTGGTGGCAGAAATAAAAGCGACAGACAGCGCCACTTAACGTGCACATGCGGGAATGAGACAAAGATGGATGAGAACCATTGCGCAAGTACAAACACGACGTTGTAGTCATCACCTACACCTGGGATTTTTACCAACACTGAGCTCAATCAGGCATTGTTAGTCAACCTTGCTTCTTTTTTTTTCTTTTTTGTGGTCTTGCAAAAGCTGGGACATGTTCAGGTTAGTGATGGTATCATCACTTTATGCAAGGTGAAGATGTCTTCACCTCACTTGTCACAAGTCAATTTCCAATAAACATTCCTGCACAGTCCAGACACACAAGCATCATCGTCCATCCTCATTTTTTTTCTTTTCATTCTTGTGCTAGAAAAAAAAAAAAAAAGTTAACACGGCTGAAAAAGATCACTCGAGCAGAAATGACAAAGCCCAATTGACCTTTAGTCAACGCGCATTGTAAAAAAGAAATAAAACGTAATGTTAAATGTAGCAAATGCACGTTGAATGAGAGAATGAGAGATTACCAATGCAACAGTTCCACAAAGGCAGGGAGACGCATGCTTCTAATCTTTCATCATCCCTTCGTCCTTCATCTTTCATCTTTCATTTTCCATCTTTTCATCTTTTAGTAATTTTAATGATTCCAATCACATTTTGAATCTTTTGAAGCATACATGCATGTAAGAGACAAACAAGCAAACATGACCGGAGTACGCAAGAAAACTTTTTTTCACATCACTGACAAACACTCTTTTAAAAACCATTTTTCTCTCAGTGGTGTGGATAGGGATACAGTCTACGAACGAAAAGGAAGGCTTTAAACCATGTTTGGCAACATTAATTCTCCATCACGAAGCACACTCTCGCCAACACAGGCTTTAAGACTCTTTGACTTGTACATGCAAGGTACTCGCACCATAGAAGACGATAGCATCCTAGTGACAGAGCTATGCCTCGATGCTGACTCTGTACTGTCTCGTATTCAGAAGCCTTGGAAAAGTCCTTCGCTTCAATGACTGCAGCCTCTTCGATCTCTTCAGGTCCCAATGAAGACATGGTATTGCGTCAAGGTATTGGCTCAGCCTACTATCAACTTGCTCGCTTATTTGAGCAATTGGGTCACTCAGCTGATGCACAAAGACGAGACAAGAAAGCAGAGAAATGGGGATACATCCAAGGAAGCAACAACAATAACAACAGCAGCAGCAATAACAGCAATGTCACTGCTAACCAACAAGTCAACGGATGCAGTAGTAGCAAATTGAGCAATATGATGGAAACAGGGCAATTCACACCAGTACAGACCATTGCAACTATCTCAAAGGACATATTCAACCACAATCAACCTCTAACAGTCGTCAGGTACACCTTACCAGACGTCGATGCAAGTTTGGATGATATCCACCAGCTTGCATATTGTCTCAGTCTGTTTCCTACTGCTCCTATCCAAACAAATGATCTTGATGACCATGAGAAAGAGTGGCGACAGACCATATCAAACAACCAAGATGAGCATGATCGATTGCGTAAACTGGCATCGGATGTAATTGAGCTGTTCATCAGCGATGGGATTAAGGCAGAAACTACTGTCGCTGAGGTTGTGACTCTGGCTCCAGTTCTCGACCAAACACAGTTCAGAGTACTGCTTGCGACTTTGATCAATAGAATCAGCCGAAACACCATACTGGAGACTCATATGCTGGAAGGATTGGCTCAGCTGATGCATCATGCTCCTCTTGGATACCTCGACTCGGATGATCTTGTCAAGATCCTCAATATTCTCAATTCTCGGTTGCAAAGCACACATGTTCAATCTGGAGACCATCTCTATTGTCTCTCATCTACAGTCTCACATGTCCTCGATGCGATGGTCAACAACCAAGTCAAGGGTCTGAAGCGAGAACAACTCCATGAACCGCTTGCAGTATACCTCAAAGGACTGAAAGAGAGTACAGATCCTCATCTGGTCTTTCAGGCAGCTTATGCTTTCCAAGCACTATTGCACATTCCAGACGACGAATCGACAGTGCAAGGTATTCTCCGACGGACATCAGCAGTACTCCGAGGAGCGTTTGGAGTAGTGAGTGCAGTCAAAGACATGGATATGAATGCCTTTATGGATGAGATAAGCAATATTCAGAAAGGACTTCCATCAGTGACAGTTATCATGGACAAGAGTCTAGAGGTGTACAAGGGAACAACATCACTTTATGAGAGTGGAGTGGCGTTCAGAGAGTGTATGGAAGAAGGACTCAGCTTCAGTCGCAAGGCAGGATGGTATCCAGCACTTCGAGTAACTGATGGACTACTCCAGACAGGCGAACTGACCAAGTTCAAGACGCTTGTGTGTGAAGTATCTTGTCGAAATGAAGCAGCATTCCAATGGGGACTATGTCAAAGACTGGGTCAGATTGCAGCTGATGTAAAGTGGAGCATGGATGTTCGACAAGATGCCACCACATTCCTAGGAGAGATATACAGGAACGATAAAGAGTGGGGACACCATACACACATTAAGCAGTGGATCATAAATATACTTAGACAACTGTCCTCGCTATCACCAAATGGTTTTCAGAGTATGTATTTGATTCTTGTATGGATATGTTTGATGACGATGAAATTAATCTTTATATGTTAATTCACATGCTTTATAAATGTTTTTGTCCCCTTCTTCCTATTCTCGCCTATTACAGCTGCAAACAGTCTTTTGAATGAGCTCAAATTGGATGGGGATGACAAAAAACAAGAGCTATACACCAATTGTCTTCATGGGCCATTGATACAGTTCTCCTCTGTTGCTACCCTCTCTCGACCTGAATCCTCACACTTGCTTGATCGTGCACAGAAGAAGCCTGGTGTTGAGAGTAGTATACGAAAACTAAAGAGACGGTGGATAGATGGGAATAACCAAAGCTTCTATGTTCAGCAGTATGCCAAAGCAAGTCCTCAAGCAAGCGATAGTGACCGGTTCTTGTTGATGGACAAAGTGAAAGAGTTCCTAAACAGCGACCAGAAAGTGATGCTTGTGCAAGGAGATTCAGGAGCAGGCAAATCCACCTTCAACCGCACTCTAGAGCGCACACTCTGGGAGACATACCAAAAGAGACATGGTCGGATCCCACTATTTATCAATCTTCCAGCCATTGACAAGCCAGAGAAGGACTTGGTTGCAAAGCAACTGCGAGACTACGGCCACACAGACTCGGAGATCAAGGAGCTGAAGATGAATCGGTCATTTGTTTTGATATGTGATGGATATGATGAGAGCATGCAGACCAACAACCTGTATGCATCCAACCAACTGAATAAACCTGGAGAGTGGAAGTGTCAGATGGTGGTCAGTTGTCGCAGTGAGTACCTTGGATCAGATTATCGAGGTCGATTCCAACCTATGGACCGCAATCATCAAGCAGATAGTGGATTATTCGAAGAGGCAGTGATTGTCCCATTCTCTGAGGCACAGATTGAAGATTACATCGAGCAGTATGTCAATTCCATGGATCTACTGTGGGGTGTGGAGGACTATAAGGGCGCACTCAAGATGGTCCCTAGCTTACAAGAGCTTGTGAAGAACCCATTCATACTGTCGATGTCACTAGAAGTACTCCCACGGATGGTGGATCCAGAACAGCAGATCACCAACAGCAAGATCAAGCGAGTCACATTGTATGATCAGTTTGTTGAGCAATGGCTGGAACGAGGCAAGAAGCGATTAGGCGAGACATTAAGACCAGAAGATAGAAGGATTTTCAGAGTACTGACAGATGAAGGGTTTGCACAGAATGGGATCAAGTACCTGACAGAGCTGGCTATAGCAATCTATAAGCATCAAGATGGCAACCCAGTGGTGGAGTACTCACCATCCAAGGACAAGGGCACATGGAAAGAAGAGTACCTCAGCAAAGAGAATAGAAGGAACCTATTACGTGAGGCATCACCACTCACACGTACAGGCAATCAACATCGGTTTCTGCACCGATCTATTCTAGAGTACAGTCTGGTACGAGCGATATTTGAGCCACAACCGATGATGAGTAAGTTTGCGAGCGATGAAGAAGCGAAGGCGACTACATCGCCTTCTCGTCGACTACATCGCCTTCTCGTCGACAGAGTATTAGCTCGGTGCTCAGTTTTGAATGCATGGACATCAAAGAGAGCGAGCAGGAAATGGATATGATCAAAGCTGATGAGACATCACCTTTAGTGTGGAGAAGCTTTGTAGATGAACCATCTATCCTTCAGTTCCTGGAGGACCGTGTCCGTCTTGAGCCGGTGTTCAAACAACAGTTGTATGGATATGTAGAACTCTCGAAGAGCGATAGCAAGTGGCGGATAGCAGCAGCGAATGCAATAACGATCTTGATCCGATCAGGCGAGTCATTCATCGGAGCAGATTTACGAGGCATTCAGATTCCAGGAGCCGATGTCAGTCATGGTATTTTTGAGTATTCTCAGCTCCAAAGAGCAGATCTGAGGAAGGTCAACTTACAGAAATGTTGGCTTCGTTCAGCAAACCTGAGTGGAGCAAAGATGACAGGAGTACAGTTTGGAGAATGGCCACTTCTTATAGCAAGTGGTGCGGTAGTGAGCGGATCATATTCACCCGATGGCAAGACACTTGCTGCAGTAGTTATCGAAAATGAATCTCATAACTATTTAATCATCGTGTATGACACATCAACATGGGAGAAACTCTTGGCTTTAGAAGGCAATGTATATAGCAGTCTTTTATTCTCACCAGACAGCAGGTATATTGCCTCCTGGGGCCAAAGTATAGTTCAAATTTGGGATGCAACATCAGGGGCATTGGTCCACAAATTGGTGGGCCATACAGAACTTATCCACTGTGTAGTGTACTCGCCAAGCGGGAACGATCTTGCCTCAGCTAGCTGGGATGGCTCAGTGCGAGTGTGGAACACCCAAACAGGCGTCCTCAAATTTATGTTAGAGGGTCATAATGGCCGTGTATCGAGTGTGGCGTATTCACCTGATGGAAAGCGGATTGCAACTGGCGGTGAAGACCAGATGTTGCGGCTGTGGGATGCGACATCAGGGCAACAGTCGATGTTGCTGATGGACCATGACTTTGGGATTGTGCAAATTGAGTATTCACCTAACGGCCAAGAAGTCATAACTCGTTGTTACAAAGATCGGCTGCATGTGTGGGATGTTGGATCTGGCCAAAAGAAGTTTAGTTTGGATCATGGTGATTATGTCAAAGGGATACAGTATTCACCTAATGGGAAGTTCGCTGCTTCTTTCACCCTTAACGCGGTATATCAGTGGGATATGCAAACAGGAGAAGCCATTCATACTTTTGCAAAGGAACATAACGCTATCGATGATCTAAAGTATTCACCAAACGGAGAAGTGATAGCCGCTTACGATGCGAACGACGCAATATGGCTATGGGATGCGAGATCAGGACAACTCTTGAATACCCTCTACGGTCACTCTGAGGGAATAGCTTGTTTGGCATATTCACCTAACAAGCACCAGATTGCGTCCTTCAATAGAGACAAAACGATACGCCTTTGGGATACTCGACCACAACAACCCAGCCATGACTTACATAGTCATTCAGCAGGAATCGTTGGCATCAGGAGTTCGCCTGATGGGCAGCAAATAGCTTCATGCAGTCGAGATGGAACAGTGCGTATGTGGGATGCAAGAACAGGACATCCCATCCACGTTTTACAATGCCTCAACGGATATATAAATGACATCAAGTATTCACCTGATGGCCAGTTACTTGCCCCTTGTCATTCTTCTCCCCGCGTCTATCTATGGAATTCTCGTACAGGACTAGTTGTTCACACTTTGGAGCTACAAGGTGAAGATGCTGATGGCTTCTGCGCCTTTGGTTTCTCACCTCTTGGTCACCAAATTGTCTGTGGCCTTGGATCTGGAAATGTGTTTATATGTAATACACAAACAGGAGAGCTCATTCACACACTACATGGCCACAAAACATGGATCATGCATGTGGTGTTCTCACCTCATGGCGACCAGATTGCTTCGTATGATTACAATGGTAATATCAAAGTCTGGAGTGCTCAATCGGGGGAGCTTCAGCATGAAGTGCGTGATGAAGTGGATGATGAAGCCGGCTATGACTCTTTTGTCGTATACACGCCTGACAGTCGAAAGATAGTGTTGTGCCGCGGCTATGACTACATGGGCCATAGCTACAAGAGCTTGCCAGTATGGAGTGCAGAAACGGGTGAGCTCTGTTACGAAGCACAGTTTAACGATTATCCAAAATGCGTTGCATTTTCACCATGTAGTCAACAGATGGTTGTTGGAGATATGGGAGGGCTGATTAGTGTGGTGGATACGGAAACAGGGTTAGTATTATGTATGTTTAAAGGACACACCTGGTCGATCATTGATATGGTTTATTCGCTTGATGAAAGATACATTGCCTCAAGCAGTGAAGACATGACAGTGCGAGTATGGGATCCAAAATCAGGCCATTGTTTGATTGCAATCCCATTTGAAGGTGGTATGGTTAAAATGCTTGTATGGAACACCTCTGAAGAGGGCCACTATCTGGTTACAGGCTGTTGGGATGGTTCTATTCGGAAGTGGCAGATTGTGAAGGAGGATGGCGAGTATCAATACCACCTGAAGTGGAGCACCAGGCAAACAGTCCTCAATGCAAACAACGCTCGTATTCAGGATGTAGATGGGTTGAGCGAAGTCAACAGGAAGCTTCTGGTGCAGCGTGGAGCTATAGACGAGCAATCCTCCTCGTTGGATGTACATGAGGTGATCAAGAGTGTAGGGACGCCATCAATAACACTCAAGGCCAGGAGTGGGTCCATTCAAGTGGGCCACTATCAAGAACCATCACCAAAGGCAGATTCGGAGGCAGGTTTAGAGACAGGAGCTCTGAGCAAAGGAGCACGATTGACAAGGTTGACAGAAACAAGCCAATTGATCGGAGGCTACCGGCTCAAATGCAGAGTGTGCAAGGAATGTAGTATTGCACATGTTATTTCATGCGAACCTTGTGAATCAGAGTAAAGAGGACAGATAGGCAGGAAATCGTTCAGAATATAGAATAAAGTGCAAACATTGCATCTTTACAACAACACCATTAAAAGAAAGTGCTTCTTGTATAAGATGGGATAGCTTGAGAGAGATTGTTGCATTTATAGAAAAATGTCTAGTAGCTACATCTATATACTATGCTGTTCATCTTTCTTTTTTTTTTTAAAAAAAAAAAAAAAAGAAAGCGAGATGGATGGTTATGATGATGCATAAGTCTATACTAATTGCGGTTGTTTTCGTCGTTGCATGATTGAGACCACCATCCTCATTCTTGAGATCTACCGTAAGTTGTAAACCAGCGTTGTCGATGCAATTGTTAGCATTGTCATTATCATAGCCATGATCACCTACTCCTCGAAATCGTCCTCAAAGTCATAGCTGTCGGGGTGTCGTCAAGGCCCAATTCATTTGCGTCTGATTGCTTCAACACAGGCTGTAGATCATAAGGTACAACTGGATGTTGATAAGCAAGTTGTGGATCCAGGACATGTTGCAAGAGTTTTTCCGAAGGTTGAGGGTCGTTTCGAGTGAGTCCTAGGTAACATCCATCTCCCCCCCCCCGCAAAGGTAACAGCAGGTAACAGAGAGGAAAATATGCCTGAGGCCTGATGGAGGCTGCTGTTGCGGAAGATGTTGGGCATTGCGGGCAAAATACCGCCAATCTTGTAGAGTTGGTCCTTGATTTAAAAGGTGCTCTGACTTCTGCCAGGCGGCCGGTACTTTGCGTTTGTACCAAGAGATGCAAACGCAAGGGCATTATTGAAGGTCTGGAGCGAGGGGTATCACCTACTGTGCAAGAGGAGTTTCAATGGTCGACACATTGACTCTTCCTTACTGGTAACGCATGAAGAAATGCTGAATATCCGAATATTTAAGAAGATAATTATTAATAAAATAAAAATAAAAAATAAAAATAAAAATAAAAAGCATACGGAGGAATAGCACGATTGCCAGAAACAGCAGGATGTCCCAGGGCACAATGCGTCTGGACCGAACAATGGCTGACCATTAAGCCACACTCCTGCTGCACAAGCGGCCCAACTTTACTCGTAAATCGCCCGCATCGAGAAGGCAATGCATTGGCAAGATGTTGTGCAGCAAGATTCAAGTTGAAAGTATGAAATAAGAATTCAAAAAATAAAAACATGGTGCAGCGCGAAAATAAAACAAATGAGAGGTAGACTTAAAAAAAAAAAAAAAAAAAAAAAAGAAAAGAAAACAGAGAGGAGAGGTCATCAGGAATAAAAGGAGTGTAATTCGCGGGAAACGAGCGATCATGCCCTAATTAATCAATCGATTGATTAAAAATGATCATAATTACGTTGAATTAAAAGGTAATCAGTTTAGATGAGGTGCTTTTGGCAACATGGAGAGAAACGCGTATGCAAGGATCATAAACATGTGCTGATGATGGAGAGATGTGAATGAAGCAAGGGATGCGGGTTTGGCAAAATTTAACGTTGGACAGCCTCTTTCGTGACATGCACTCAGAGAAGTACATTCCACACGAAAAAAAAAAAAAATCGATGGATGATAATAATACGTCAAGTTTTATTTTTATTTTTATTTTTTTTCGAGGTTCCTGTAACAGTGATTTTTACAAAGCTGCGTTTTCATCCACTGTCGTAGCAACCAGAATTACATTTCTATATTTTGAGGGTAAGTTTGCCTCAATTAACCTTTATTTGTTTGCGTACTGTATGTACTGTAAGGATATTAGCTCTAGCTACAATGAATCGATACTAGGAATGTGAATCGGGGATACTAAAACACTTTTAGACCTTCAACTTCCCATCTTTGACCTGGTTTAGCCATCCATAGCACATGTTTTTGATGTAGTCATATTGCTTGCAGTAATCTGTTCCACCCAAGTCATAGCATCCAAAAGCAATCTTGTCGATTCTGTTGCCAAGTGTCTTCACCTCATTAGCAACGAAGCCTCCATGATCAACACCATCAGTAGCACAAGACCAGTGCTGGAAATCCCTATTGATGTCCATCCTTCCTCTGCTATTCTTCTTTGTGTAAACATCGGCATCTTCATTGTGGAAACCCGTTTGGGCAATGATGATGCCATTTGGATCTGCAAGGACAGCATCAATATTCCAACCAAAGCTTGTGTCTCGTCGTCGGTAGCAAGCCCAATGGCTAGCGAATACGGAGTTCAGAGCCAATAAGGCAACCAAAATAGCGCAAGCGATTCTCATTGTATACTAGATGTTGTATATTTCAATATACAAGATAATAACGGCCCAGCTATAAGATTAAGAAAAATACTAAAAACACACTAGGAACATACTAGGGGAATTCCTAAAATTAATACGCTAAGAAAAGTATAATAATAATAACGCGTCACTAGAGACGCGACAAAACACCGACATGGTTCCTGAATAATCCCATGTCGCTTCTAGATAGATATGTAGTTACTTGGTACGAGTCTCTCTACCAGAAAATGAATAAATACCCCATGGATGTGGTGTGTGGACCCACATCTTATTCTCACTTATCTTAGCTTCTGATAACTACTGTCTAAATATTTTTCACTAGATGTGTTGAATAAATAAATAAAATACAATAATAAATGAAAAATGTCAGTTATGGATGCAAACATACACCCCTTTAGCTATAATGCAAAAGTCATTGTAATCTTACAAAGGTCTGGTCTGGTCTGGTCTGGTCAAGGGACGTGAGATGATCTGGTAAGGACTTTGTGCGGGAGATTGTTCTTGTAACGGCTCTTGTGAAGGAGAATGTCTGTGGCAACTCTTGCGAAGGAAATGGAAGGATATTTATACGCTTTCCCTAAGAGCTTATTAGTGTGACACAGGTACAAGTTAGAGTTATATGATTGGTGAAACGAGATGTAATGGCGTTGGGCTGTTGTGTATGAAAAGTTTTAGACGTACAAGATGTGGATCCGCTCATGAGGCATTTATTGAAGTTGCGATCAAGAGACATGTCGAAAAAAAAAAAAAAAAAAAAAAAAGAAAAAGTTGTGGGACAGTCATGCCAGCATGCAGGGAAAATGGTACAAATGCAGAGCACACCAATATTTTGCCCCATTTCATCGCAATTGCCGAAAAGAGTAATTATTGGGCTCTGGTACGAAATAAAGTTGGGCTGTTTTTTTGGACTATGCCTAATCTGATGTCATATCCTCTACTACATCAGCTCGTGGCTCTCGCGTGGCTTTCATCACAGACACCTATAGGTTCGAGACCCCTTCCGAACAATTGCGACAGTCAAATACATCCCCTTTTCTCCTTCGGGGCGAGGAAGATTGCTCAAAAGGGAAAAGAAGGGGGAAATGGCTGACTCCATCCACTGACGATTCGACCGTTGTCCTCAGCCTGAACGGGAAGTAATCCTGTGCATGATATAGCAACCTTTTATGTCTTAGAAATGATCCGACTTGTTATTCTTTTAGAGTAAAGCAGGTACAAAACACGACAGCCTACTTTGCTTGCGGATATTTTATTGAACAAGATTTACGATGTCCTCTTTTCCCTCACACGATGAAGGCCAGAAGTACCTCTCCCAAAAGGAATGAGAGCCAGCACAGATCCTAAGCCCAGGAGGGAGAAAGCCACTGGAGTGAGGCAGAGCCTTGCCAAGGGAAGGGGCCTGGCAGTGGACCATAACATGTAACGGGAATGAAAGAAAGAAGTCTTTACTATGATCCAGGGATCTTAACTATCAAAAACCTATACATATGACTGCTAATCACAACAAACTTCGCATTCCATGTCTGAAATCTTGACGGTTGGCTTGACAGATAGCTTGACAGATGACTATAATTTACTTTTTAAATTGTCTCTTTGCATGCCGTAACCTAATTTCAGTGAGATATAATATATAGCAATGGCACGTTTAGTCACCTTGTCGCTTCCAAATAAAGGGAACGCTGTTGGCAGTAGAGTTAGGCTATCGAAAGAATGTGACTAACACGTTGTTCAAATACACCTTTCTTCTTAATTCATCAATCTAATCGCCTTCACAGATCCAATTCAACACTGATTTCCACAACCCAAGGCCACCATCAACGCTACAAAGCACGATGAACCAAATACCAATTACAAGATAAAGAGTAATTAGTTAACTTTAATCGGATAAAGCTTACTTCTCATAGGAAGAGTGAAAATTGTACATAGATAACCCGTTTTTAATAATGGATAAAACAATTGGAAACTATAAATCAAAAATTTAACAAAAAAAAAACCTAAATGAAAGGCAGATTAACAATGCATGCCATTGAGCTATGAATATGAAACTATACTTTTGCCCACTCTTCCATACACAGCTGTTAAACATCACCATGTATCATGCGTCAGCATCCAAAGAATAATGAACACCATGCCCCATGAAATTCAGAAGAGTTCTCAAGGAAGCAAAGACAGCTTGCTCTGTGTGCACTAACGTTTGTTGGAGAGCCTGGAAAACCTGAAGGACGCGATGTTACGGAGCTACAGCCAGTGAGATGGTGATGAAGTCTAGATAAGCAAGGATTTCTTTCTTTCTGACGACCATGGGAAGATGAATGAAGAAGAAGAGAAAAGCCATCTTTGAAGTGAATGGCGAAGGAAGGAGCAACACTACACTTTTTACAAAAGTGAAAAGAGTGCTGCTGGTATGGTACGTATTATCAATCTCTCATAGTACAGCGCGTCCCACCAATATTTCCCGGTATCGGCCGCATTACGATCAAAATATATCACCTTGGTGGGACTGGTTCCAGGAACCCGGTGTGGTTAGTACAAGGTGTCATGTACCAGTGGGGTATTTATGGAGATCAATAGCTCTATATCTTAGCGATTTGACCTAATAACTGCTGCTGTTAGAGACAAGGATGAGTCTCCAATTAATCGATTTAATAAAAATTAAATAATAAAAATTAAAAAGAAGCCCCAACTGAAAACTATTTTTTATCAACATTAAGGCTGACTTGCTAAAAAAAAAAAAAAAAAAAAAAAAGTCGGAAAGGAGGTAGAAATAATAGAGATAGGCACTTGTTGTTTTGTTTATCTTTAGGTTGGGGAAGAAGGAGTGGGAGCTGGTAGAGGTGCGGGGAAGTGAAGACAAGTAAAAGATAAATGTACTGCATCATGATGATATAGCTTGATAGACTGCTCTTGCTGGTTTTTTTTTACTGATCGAGTTTTTTTTTACTTCCTTGATATACACTCACTAGTGCTTGCGTTCAGTTCATCAGTTCATATTTACCATATTAATGTAATGGATAGATTGGAACACCTGTGTTTCTTATATACAATATAGTTGTGGCCTTATTTAGGCGAAAAGAAGCCAATAGCCGGTTATTTTCTGTTAATTCGTTTACAGATGGGTTGATGAAAGATAACTGGGCAAATTTGCCCGCTTCATGATTTAAGGGATAGAACACCATTTGGGGAAAAAAAAGAAATAAAAAAAGAGTTAAAACATAAAAAAATAATAATAAAAAAAAAAGACAAATAAAAAGAAATAAAAAAGTAATGCATGCTAATTCCAAATTTCAGATCCAATGTCTTTTTTTTTTTTTTTTTTTTTTTTTTTGGCAGATTAATGGGATTTATAAAGAAAGTAAATGGTTGCGATCATGCAACTCAATTGACTTTTATTTATGTATACTGGACGCATATAGACTCTAACTATAATGAGCCGATACTATGGATGTGGATTGGCGATTTTAGACTTTCAACTTCCCTTCTTGGACCTGGTATAGCCATTCATAGCACATTTTTCTGATGTAGTCATATTGCTTGCAGTAATCCGTTCCACCCAAGTCATAGCATCCAAAAGCAGATTTGTCAGCAGTGCCGGGGAGTGGCACTATTTCATCAGGTTTGAAGGACCCATGATCCACACCGTCAGTGGCACAAGACCAACTTCCTAATCCCTTTCTAATGTCCATCCTTCCTCTACTGTTCTTCTTTGTGTAAACGTCGGCATTTTCATTGTGAAAACCACTTTGGGCAAGAATAATGCCATTCGGGTCGGCAAGGACAGCATCAATAGTCCAGCCAAAGCTTATGCTTCGTCGGCTGTAACAAGCCCAATGGCTAGCAAATACGGAGTTCAGAGCCAATAAGGCAACCAAAAGAGTGCAAGCGATTTTCATTTTATACTAGATGTGTTGAATAAATAAATAAATAATAAAAAATATCAGTTATGGATGCAAGCATACACCTCTTTAACTATGATGCAAAAGTCAATGTAATCTTACAAAGGTCTGGTCTGGTCAAGGGACGTGAACTTTCTTGATAAGGGTCTGAGATGGTTTGGTAAAGGTTCTATGAGGGAGATCGTTCTTGTAATGACTCTTGTGAAGGAATGGAGGGGTATTTATACATTTTTCTAAGGACTTATCAGATCTGACACGCGTACAAGTCAGAGCAAAAGATACCGTACACAATATAGTCGGGTTGTTGCACATATACGTTGAGCGGTTGAGCTGTCGTATAGTTACCTGGAAAAAGTTTTTTTTTTTTTTTTTTTTTTTTTTTATGAATAACCCGGACAAATAGCCAATATGCAGCATACATAAAGGCTTTACCAATCAACGCGAAAGCCTACGCCTTCGCTATAGAGGCTGTTGCAACTATTTGCTGGAGACTTCGGGGTGTATTTAGTGAGGAAAAATGGAAAAGAATGAGATTGAAGATGGTTGCTTTTTGGCGTAATCCTGATAGCTCTTTTCAGCTGGTTATACATACACGGTTGAGGCGTTAGGGCAAATGGTACACAATGAGGTTGGGGTTGGGCTGTTGTGTATATGTAGTTTTGAACAGAGAAGTAGACAGGCCGAGAAGCAAATGAGACTAAGATATGGACCCACACACCACACCCATCAGGTATTCATTGAAGCTACAATCCAAGACAATTCAAAAAGCATATCGCGCTTTTAATTTTTTAATCTGTGTTAAAATAAACCCTGTCTGTGTGTTCACTTTGCAATGTTCCAATAAATAGCCGAAAAGGATAGAATGGAGCCTTGTGGGACGTTTAAAGGGCATGATGTTTGGGTAGTTGTGAGAGTTGATTCGGTTATCATGTTAGAAAAAGCGGATAGTATATATTTCAGACACAACCGGTTAGCTTAAATTCGATAAAGGCTATTTCCCATCGGAACAATACAATTTAAACATAGATAACCGGTTTTTAAAAATATATAAAGCAATTAAAAGCATTTGTCAAAAAACAAAACAACGTTGTTTGCCTATGGGATATTGATAGAACGTATCCATGTTGAAGGTTTTCTATAAAGTGGTTACACGTGTGATTCACCTGAGTACAAAAAAAAGTATATCTTAGATATTGAGATTAGACAGCGCGTTTCTTTAATTTCATTTCATGAGTCATGAAACAAGCATTCTGCGAAATATGCAGGGCTGTTAGACAGCCAGTACAAATATAGTTGAGCTGTTGAAAAAAACGATAAAAAAAACAGTTGGGCTGTTGGACAAACGGTAAACAATAAAGATGGAATAGAGCTGGGTGGATCATGGAAGAGGCTTGAAATAGGGGGGACTGGCGGGTTTTTTCTAATATCTTAATTTCCATTGGTAAGCTGTCTCCTATTTAAAAACATCTAAGCTAATAAGATTTCAAGAAGTCGGAGGCATTTCCAAATCGTTACAAGCTGCCCTTCATTAAAATCTATATAAATGTATAAAAAGATGATTGGCCTTAAGAGTTGAGAGTCATTTCCCCAATGCGCAAGTCCAGAAGAGATTCACTTGTGCCTGGATACCTTAAAAATACTGTTTTTGTTTTGTTTTGTTTTGTTTTTCAATTGTCCCAACAGAATCTTCTTTCCATCCTCTTGTAGCCTTGTATCCCATTTGTAGGCTGACCTTAGAGCACGCCTTGGTCATAAACATACACGCAGTGTTTGAATTAAATAATAATAAAGACAAATTACGTAGAGACATCGGAGAAGAAAAAGAGAAGGTAAGGATTTTTTTTTTTTTTTTTTTTTTTTCGTTTCGATGCAAGTCGGACCTTTAATCGCTCTATACATGCATCAGTATATACAAACATTCTTGGCATTGTCTACGGTACCATGTCCGTATGTGTGTCACCTTTCTTCATTGAAAATCCGACGAGAAATAAAGAAAAATAAACTAAATAAAAAGATCCCTCTGCCCTGCAACTCTGATCTACATCTTTCTTCTCGTCGCTCCTGGAACTCATCCGTTGCAGACTATTATCTATTCGTTCCAATGAGCGACAATTCTACCGACAACACTCATAATGCACTCCTTCATGAAATCAACACTCTTCGTCAGCAGGTGGCTGCCCTTACGCAGGCCAACCCTTCCTCCTCTTCCCCTTCCCCCATCACCATTGATCGCCCACAGGCCAAGATACTTGTCCTCTCTGATACCCTCAAAGCGGCTGTACCTTCCCTTGACGGCTCTCATTTCTTCCGTCCCCCGGACAACTCTGGCGACGATAACATCCTCACCGAGTACGTCCTCTATCCCAAGAACCCAGATCAGCAGTACAAAGCGCCCTCTCTTGAGTTGCCTTGGCCTCAGGAGACCACTTCTTTTCAACGAGTGGACAAGTGGTTATCCCAACTACAGGAACGTCAGGCCCACGCTACGCGACCCTTGGACGAATTCCTGGCAGAATACTTTCACAAAGTGCATGATCCTGCATTACGGCAGATCGTCGCAGATTTTGGGCATGTCATGCGATCTCATCTGGCCGTTACAGCACGCCAAATCACCGATCTGCGCATGGATAATTTTGTGTACGCAAAGGGTCTCAAGCCAGCCCCTGATCATGAAAAGACTGCAACTATCACTAAAGATGATATTGCAGCCCGAATTAAAGCTGCTGAGGAGTACCAGGAGGCCAGCAAGCCTCGCAAGACAGCTTTGCAAAACAGAGGATCCGGTCGCAATTCCGGTTCTCGCAGCAGGGGTATTTACTTTAACATGTACCCCCACCAGCAGCAACAGTTCCAGCAATTTCCATCACAATCGCAACCTTATTCACCAGCGAATCATCATCAAGCACAACAAGCCACACCTCCTCAGCTCACTTACGGGTATGGAGAGCCCATGCATAACAACCAGCAGGGACAGTATTTTTACAGAGGCAGCCGTGGACGGGGACGCGGCAGCGCCAACAAGAGCCAGTAGGGGGCCGTCTGCACCTCTACTCGAGGGCTTGGAGGCTCCTCACGGACGACAGGTGGGTCCGCTCCGTGATTGGAAACGGTTTTCAGATTCCCTTCCACAGACAACCTCCAATAACACACACATCAAGAGCCCTTTCCCCGCATCTATCCAAGGAGGAGACACTGGCGATAGAGAACGAAGTGATCGCACTTCTGGCCAAAAAAGCCATAGAGCACGCTTCGGGACCTGGTTTCCAGAGTCGTTTGTTTACTATCCCCAAGAAGACAGGGGACCTCCGGCCTGTCCTCAACCTACGTCCTCTCAATCAATTTATCATCACAGACTCGTTCAAGATGGAGACGATTCAGGTAGTATGCAATACCCTTCAGAAGAACGATTATTTGACGAGCATCGATCTCAAAGATGCTTTCCTTCATGTGTTGATTCATCCACATTTTCGTCCTTACCTTCAGTTTCAGTGGAAGGGTCAGCTGTATCAGTTTCGCACTCTACCTTTCGGGATGTCACTGTCGCCGTTAGTCTTCACGAAGGTCCTACGCCCGGTGTTGAGATGGGCGAGGCGTCGAGGAATACGGCTGACAGCTTACATCGACGATCTGTTGATCATGGCCAGCTCCAAAGCCCAAGCAGAAGAGCACACGAATCTTGTCCTAGACAAACTCAAGTCTCTTGGATTCCTCATCAACAAGGAGAAATCCTCTCTGATGCCAACGAAATGTCTAGATCATCTGGGTTTCACCATCAACACCACCGACATGACCCTCTCGGTACCGAAGTCCAAGGTCAGGGACATACGGCGAGAAGCAGCGAAGATGCTCAGCAAGGGATGGACGACGGTTCGCAACTTGGCTACGTTCATAGGGAAAGCCATGGCGACGACAGCAGCAGTATTTCCAGCTCGTCTAATGACGCGGCATCTTCTGGCATTGAAGAACAGAGCGCTCAGCCATCAGGGGTCATCTTGGGAAGCGACGATCTCACTGGACGACAGAGCTCGAGCCGATCTGGATTGGTGGACACACCAACTCAAGGAGTGGAACGGGACGTCATGGATTCAGTCGCCAACTCAGATGGACGTGTACACAGACGCCTCCGACCAAGGCTGGGGGATCGTCATAGGGCAGCGCACTTGGACAGGGCTATGGCCACCAAACATACGCCACCAACACATCAATTTAAAAGAGTTACTAACCGTGTACTACGCAGTCACTCTACCGCAAACACAAGGGAGGATGCTCAACCTAGTAATCGACAACACAACCACCATCGCTTACATCAACCGGTTCGGCGGAACTCGTTCACAACCTCTGATGGACCTGGCGGACAAAATATGGAAGCATTGTCTAGCAACAGGCACAAGACTCAGGACCACATATGTACCTTCAGTATTCAATCCAGCAGATGCACCATCACGCCGGATGCAAGCGCAGCTCGAATGGAGGCTGGACCCGTCATTTTTCCGTCGTCTAGACCAGCAGTGGGGGCCTCATCGGATAGACCTCTTTGCATCGCCCAGCAACAACCAGCTTCCTCAGTTCATGACATGGAAACCTCATCCTTTGGCAGTGGACTTCGATGCGCTGAGACACAAGTGGAGCCACTTGGGCAACCTTTACATCTGTCCTCCATGGAACTTACTTCCAAGGATCCTGCAGAAGCTAGACCAGGAAGGCCTGGAAGCGACCATAATTACTCCATTTTGGCCATCGGCGATTTGGTTCCCGAAGATACAGGCAATGGCGACCCAACCCCCTTTACCGATTCCACGAACATGTGTTCTCCCTCCACCAGGAAGCGACGCGCACATCCTGCTCAAGAATCCACACTGGGGCCTTACCGCGTGGAGAGTAAGAGGACGAGGATGCTCATAGATGGCCTCTCGCCAGCGGTGACTGAGTTTATCTGTGCTCACAAAGGATCCAAGAGCACCAAGCGAGAGTACGAAAAGCATCAAGCTGAATTCGTCACTTGGCTGAAAGAGGGCTCGTTCGAACAAGGGATTAACCCCGCGATCCCAGTAGTGAACTGGCTACACTACGTGCGGGTCGCTCGCAATTTGAAGTGGTCCACGCTGATGACCATGAAGTCGGCTGTCCTCGCCCTATTTCGTGACCCAGAGAGAGTACGATCAGATGAATACTACCGCCAGT